TTTGGCCCCAAACATAAAACAAGAGGGAAACAATGACAATTCCCAATAAAACTTTAAGCTGACAGTCACACTTGGCTGGGACGTCAATCAGTCACCCTATCCAATGGGACTCCCAAACAAAAACTTTCATCACTGTAATTATCCACCAGAGACATCACAGTAAGCTTTCAGTTAGCGGTGGAACATTTTTGGAGTTTACACTGCCATTTTTCTATGCAATTTAAAAATTAAAACAGCTACAAAATTTGGAGGCATTTGCCATTCATGAGAGTCTCCTATTGCTGATCTGGTCCAGGTTTCACAGTGTACAATTTATTAATAGCCAAACTGAATTTGAGAACATATCTGGCTCCCAGTCTTTTGCTTCAAAGTCCAGGCCATACAATTACATAAAAGATGCCTAGAACCATTAAGACTTGTAGTTTTTCATCAAGCATAAACTTCTATGTGCCTGATAGAAATGGTAAACAACCCTGGCAAAACTATGAATAGATACTGGAATATTCTAATACATTTTTCAAACAGGTTTCAAATGTCATTCTCCTATCACTCACCACCAGATATGTTCAGAAACAAAAACTGAGGAATTATTTATGTAGCAGCAGGAGTACACTGCTACCCATCTGATGCAGTGGGTAGCAGCATACATAAAGACCGTACTGAGACACCATGCGTTTTGCTCCTATATACGAGTGTATAAAGAACAGAATTGTTCAAGTCCCTTATTGCCCCAAACCTACATAACAGAAAAACTCAGGCAGCGGGAACAAAAGGCATCTTATGTGATCCACAGCAGCTACATCACCTTGAAGAATGAATAATGAAGTTTTAAAAAGTCTTTTCTCCAGCTATTTGGCAAAGTACAGTCTGCTGATTTGACTCTCTCTCAGCAGGACAGGGAAGTGAAGAAATTTCAGCCATACCAGAAATGCCAGATCTGGCATTTGATCCAGCAAGGCAATCCAGCACACAGTGTCTGACAAACACGAACCGATTGCTCCGCAGAGCTGCCTTCTGTATCTCTGGTACCACGGCACTGCAGACGCAAGGCAGAGGGAGGGCAGCTTCTGCTCTCGTAAAAGGGATTCTTGCCAACTGGTCCGCATCTACCCACTGCAACTGTTGGTGGGACAGGATACTTTTAGCACTCAGAGCTGTTAGTTGCTGTCAAGATTTTGAGGGAAACTTTCTCAGTGATTTACCCTGTAAGTTAAGAAGTATTAGTATCTGTGCAGAGCACTAGCCTTGGCGGGTGGGGGTGGGGGGGGGGAGGGGGGAGCGGGAACAAAACAACACAGGAAAGCAGACTAGTTTAGATCAGAACTCAGAAATCACAACAGAAGAGAAAGAGAACAAGAATAAACACCAAAACAGGACACACAGTTTTCTGTCGTTCTTGGGTCCCTCCCCAGCCTACCAACACTGAAGACTCTGAGGTCCAATACTGATTTTTTTTCTCCAGCATTTCTCTCCATGTGTCTAAACCCGAGATATAACAACTGTTAGTTCTGAAACAATTGCCTGAGGACTTGGTCTTACAAGGAAGAATGGACTTGCAGTAGGACTGCTGACACTTACGACACCCATCACCTCCACTTCATTGTGGCTGCAGAAGTCACTGCTCGTAACGCAGTTCCAGACCCTTCACAGCACAGTCTATTAAAGTAAACCAGCATCGATTTCTGCTTGACTGGACTGCAAACTGCTGGAAGCAATTCCTGAACTCTCACAGCTCAAGCACAGGACCGACTGTAATCTTGTCAGCCGTCCCAGTGTGGGCTGTTTGTAATATTGAGTCAGAATCTATGGAAAACCTGC